TTTTTTTTTTTTGCAGTTTTTGGCTAGGGCTGGGTTTGAACCCACCACCTCCGGCATATGGGGCCGGCGCCCTACCCTTTTGAGCCACAGGTGCCGCTCAGCTAATTTCTTTTTTTTTTTAAGTGATAGACTTTCACTATCTTGCCCAAGCTGATCTCCAGCAATCCCCCTGCCTTGGCCTCTCAAAGTGCTGGGATTATAGGTGTGAGTCACTGCACCCAGATGCTGGGGCCATTTCTTACCATCTGCATTTAGACTCCCATGTTTTAGGCTCAGATCTTTTCTAGGGACTGCTCTGGCCATGGCTCCACCAATGTAGTGAGGGTGGGGGAATCTCAGGCCCCAATGAAGATGTGAAGGAACAGCCTGGAAGCCTGTGTGTATATGTGTGTGTGAATATAAGTAGGTGCACATGTGTATACATCCACATTTGTGGTTATGTGTGACTGTGCTGTGCCTGTATGTGCACATGTAAGTCTGTGTACAAGTGTGAATATTTCCTGGGCCCATATGTGAGTACAGCTGTGTATGCACACATAGTGGGCCCAAACCCTCATATGTAGAATGTGATTGAATGGGCACAGGTATGAAGCAATGTGCCACATGTGTGTACATAGGATATGTGTGGCATGTACTCACATGCATAAGTTTTTGTGTATGTCTACATAGGTGAACACAGGATGTGGCATGTGTGTCTGTATGTGTACACATGGTATGTGTATACACATGCCTTCATGTTGTATGTGACTGTGTGAGCACACACACGAGCACACTTGGTATGCATGTGTGTATAGACCTAGATGTGCATACAGGGTGAGCACAAGAGTGAGTATATGTACCCAAACACTTGCCTATGAGGTATGCATTTTGTGCGTCCCCACCTTCATGTGTGGTGGGTGACTACATGTGTAAGGAAGAATTAACACAGCAGGCCTGAGCATTCTACCTTTTTTTTTTGAGCAAAGTCTTACATTATTGCCCAGGCTAGAGCACCATGGTATCAGCCTAGCTCACAGAAAACTTCTGAGTTACAATGGCCCTTCCGCCTCAGCCTCCCAAGTACCTGGGACTACAGGTGTGTGCCACAACATCCAGCTAAGTTTTCTACCTTGTGGCCCAACAGAGACGAGGTCTTGCTCTTGCTCATCTCGAACTCCTGAGCTCAAGAGATTCTCCTGCCTATGCCTCCCAGTGTGCTAGGATGACAGGTGTGAGCACCATGCCAATAATGTTACTCTTTGAAAA